GTGTTCCCCCAGCCAGGTTCAGAAATTGGAAATAAGCTCATCTGGAGGAGGCAGGTGGAGGGGGAGGGGCAGAGACACACTAGGAGAAATAAATTGAAGGCAGGGGATTAAACATCATTTTCTTCTATGCATTCTCCTCTACAGTTGCCCCTACACACACACAGGAATTGTGCATTATCTTGGCAGACAAAGGTTTGGAAAGAAACACACACTCAGTGATTTTAGCAGGAGCCCCAGAGCTCACCTTCCTAGTATTTCCATCAGATCTGGCCAATCCAGAGACTTCATACTGCCTTCCAATCACAGCAGCTGGTGTTGTGCTATGCAATTCCCTGCTACGCCTGAAGTCCCTTTCCTAGGCTAGATCCCAAACTTGAATATTCATTAAGTTTCTGGTTTAAGCATCTGATATCCTAATAAGGTACATTAAATATGTATCTGTAGAGATATTCCATAGAAGATGTGGAAAGCCAAAGCAAGGTGCATAAAATGCCCCAAGAAGAATTTCTGGGGTTGAATTATCCCAAAAATACTAGTGCACACACCTCTCTCCTCCACCCACAATTGTTTACATAATAGACTCTGGGCAGGACAGATCATACAGACCAAATAACAAATACAGACAAATAACATACTATGCTAAATAAAGCTAGGAGAATTTGCTATCAATGGAGATGCAACCCTTCAATCAGAGGTGTCATTCATGGGCCAGGGCATCCTGTTCTTCAAACTACAGGTGTTTATTGGCCTTATTACTTCTTATCGCCATGATAGAACTCTGCATATTGAAAGCCTGTTGTTACGAACATACAAATGGACTAATTTACATAGTATGCATACCAAAAGAACAAATCCCTTTACTTTTATTTTTAAAGGATAAATAACAACTTACAAATATTTTCTAAAAGTTTTACAGAGATTAAAAGGCAGCACAGAAAGAAACCACAGAGAATGCTCTTAAAATGTCCCTTTCCACACTTCTGTTCTTTACAAAAGCAAGTGAAAAATATCACTCTTATTCCCAGCCCCCAAATCTGAAAATGACACCCCAGTTGTTGTTACAGAAAAGCTGTAGCCTTCTCTAAGGGGGGAGGGGAGAAGTTTGTCTGGCTGGTCCGGGACCAGAGATGGGGCAGGGTGGGGAGTGGCGGAGACATGACAAGGGCGACCTCAAGAATGGGAAACACTTGAGTAGGTTACTTAATACAGGATTATATAAGCAGAGAGGGGGGGGGGTAGGTGGATGCTTAGTTACTGGAGTTAGCCATGGTTCTTGTGGACAAAGCTAACGAGAAAGCTAAATTATGGAGGAAGCTGAGGATAAAGCTAAATTTCCAAGGCTGGAAATTTCCTGGAGGTCATTAATCTCTCCCTTAATACAGCATCCATCATAAGCACAAGGTCTAACTAGAGAAGATAGATGCAGCACAGGTTTCCCCACATTTTAGCAGTGAAGGGTGATGGGGTCCCTGCAGATCTGAAGGAGATTCCACACACCATATACCGGTAATTTGCTGTGTTGAAGATAGATGTGTGTAGAAAATAACAAGCATTCAAGATGGCTGGATGAATGAACCCAGACACAGCTCTGTGGGCACCACAGACCCATGTGAGCGGGTGAGGGGAAATAGATGGGTCGGCTAAGAAGAGCTGTGTAAATATAATAGACTTGTGAAAGAAAGTGTGGGTATGTGGTTGGATAAGCAGAATTTCTAAAAACAAGTTGTACACAGTGTCAATGACAGAAGCAAAGAAGAAGATATATATATATTTAGGAGGAGAAAGGGAGCGAATAGAGCCTGACTTGCACGCTGACTGAACTGACGGAGAGACTCCAGCCCACAAAAGCTGCTGCCACATTAAATTTCTCAGCCTCCCAGAGGCCATCTGACTCTCTGCTGTCTTTGCTGCAGCAAACTCAGTTACCTCTCTGGAAGTTGTCACCAGGCTGACTCCTCTCCACCACACAAGCATGAAATTTGTGTGTGTGTGGGGGGGGGGTATTCATATGTCCAATTTGTTTGAGGGTGTTATTCCTGCATTGTGAGAGTTGGGTCTCCCCCTGGAACACCCAACATATGTGGGGCAAGGGGACCCTGCTCTTTCCCACCAGACAAGAAGGGATGCCTGCCTGGGAAGGGCATGAACCAAGGGAGAGGAAGGCAAGGCCCCTTTTAGGCCGTAGTGGACATCACCCTTCCAAAGTCCAGGTCTCACTTTTAAGCTGCGACTTGGGATCCATGATTTTTATCTCACATAGTTAGGATTGTTGTTGTTTAGTCGTTTAGTCGTGTCCAACTCTTTGTGACCCCATGGACCAGAGCACGCCAGGCACCTCTGTCCTCCACTACTGTAACCTTTTACTTGCTCCCTTTATCCAGGCCGGGTATTTTCTCGCTTCCCTTCTTTTGTCCTATTTCTCTGCCAGACTTTCTCCTTCTTTTTGATCTCTGCTCTCTCTTTCCCTTTCTCTCCCATGCTTTAATCTTTCCCTCCTCCCCTCCTCGTCTCCAAGAGATGGTTGCGGCACCATCTTGCCCAAGCCTCCTCTTTCCCACAGTGGCCATACAGACGCCTCGGGGACGCAGAGCACAGGCGACCCTTGGATCCTTCGCTGCTTGTTCTCACAACATATGGTACCCCAAGGTATTCTGCTTCTGAACGTGGAGGCTCCAGTCTGGCTACAAGCCACTGGGAGGCCTCTCATCCTTCGCGCCTTTGTCCCAGCCCCTTCCGCAGCCCCCTCAGCAGCAGCCAGGGCCCCAGACATCTTGTGCGGGCAGCGAATTCCACCACTTCATTCTGCACAGAGCGCAGAAGTGCCCGTCACTCCGTTGCACCGAGGGGGGGTCGTGAAGTTCTGGCAGCAGCAGAGGCAGAGGGAGGGAGACAAGTGGATGACCCTCAAAGGGAAGGAGTTCCCTCCCCACCCCGGGAAGGAAAGGCAAAGGCCAGGGGGGGCTGCGGGGGGCCATCCCGGTCTTGCCAACCTTCCTGCATCCCCCGCCCCCATTTGCCACCTGCTGCCGGGCCCAGAGATTCCTGCGCTTCCGCCCCCCGCGTGGGAGCCCACGGCCCAGCCCCCTCCCCGCCAAGGCCCCCTCGCCCTGCCCGCCCCGCCTCCGCCAGACTCTTCCCCACTGCCCCCCCACGCGCTGCCAATCAGGCCTGCTCGGCCAATCAGGAACAGAGAAAGCCAGCCCCGGCAGCCTGTGGAGCCCGCCCCCTCCCCTGCAGTTGCCTGGAAAAAAGCGGGCGCCGGAGCGCGCCCGCCCGCCTTGCCATCCCGAGCAATGCGCCAAAGGAGAGCGCGGAGAAGGCGCTCGCTCGCTCGGTGCCCTTGGCCAGCTGCCGGCGGACTCGGCGGCCGCGCAGGCAGCCTCTCCTCCCCCCGCCCTCGGCGCCGGCCGCCTCGCTCTCCTCCACCGCCCCGTCTCCTTCCCAAGACGTCCTTCTCCGGAGCCGGCCGCCCTCGCAACGAGCTGAGGTCGCCATGAGGCCCGTTGGCTGGCCCGGGGCGGAGCGGGCGGGGGAGAAGGCCAAGAAAGACAGGGAGCCTGCAGGACAAGAAGCAGCGCATCTCGAGGGGAGAAACCCCAAAGGGAGGCTCACATCCCCTCGCATCCTTCCAGCGCCGCCTTTGCGCTACCGTGGGAGTCTGGCTAGGCTAGCCTCTCCCGGGACCGAAGGGACCTTTGGAGCTGAGCGAGATCAGCCGGGCTCTGAGATGGAATACCCCGCAGAATACCCCCCCCCTCCATCTCCCTGCTGTCTCGGGCCTTTCTCGACCCATCCCCGCGTACTTCAGCCCTTTGCCCTCGGTTTTCTCTCTCGCCATCCCGCCAAGTGATACAGCGATCATTTCGTCTCCTTTCTTCGTTCGCAGTCTCCCTAGCCAATCCCTCGGCCCCTCCGTTTCCTTTCATTATTCAGCCCAAGCCGCTGAAAGAAGCTGCCCCCAAAGGATCCCGAGAGATTCGTTCCCACATTCACATGTTCTTCCATCAGCCAAGACATTTTGGGGAGGGAGAAGGAGCAAGAGGAGGAGTGTTCCCCTCCCCCACATACGACAGCAGGGATGGGGGAGGCTTGGAGCTGTCAGAAGCTTAAGTGGCTGCTGCCCCCTCCTCCTCCTGCCCTCCGTTTAATGCAGGTACATCGCTGCAGTGGGTGGGTGGGTGGGAGATCCCTATTGGGCTTGAAGTACGCCCCCACCCACACCCCCTTTGCTGATCTGGCCAGGTACGTCACCGGCGCTGCCTCCTCTCTCGCGCTCCCTTTTCGCTCCGTGTGTGTGTGTGCGCGCAGCTCTCTCTCTCTCTCTCTCTCTCTCACACACACACACACACACACACGGTCACCACAGGAACATGTCGCTGTCACCTTGAGATGCAGGCAGTCATTGCAAGGTGCACCGGCGGAGAAATAGACGCCAAGGCAAAAATGATGGGAAGGGGCAGTAGAGGAGGTGGGAGCGGGGACACGCGCAAGACACGGGACGCTCTCCCCCCTCCCCTGCCCTCCCCATGCACATTTTCCCACTTCTCCCTCCCTAAAGCTGGAGCCGCTTTCGAATTCTGCCTCCTCCTCCTCCTCCTCCTCCAGGTCTTCTGCTCAACGCCTCTCCTCTCTTCCCTCATCCCTAAATTAAAGGTTGCAGGGAAAGTCTAGTAAGGTTGTTTTTTTCCTTTTTAAATCCCACCCGACCACCCAGCCTTCTTTTCTGCAGTGACTTGTCCGCACGCCATCCCGACCGCATTGCCCTCCCTCCCCGCGCACCCACCCCCAGCTCCGCGCATCTCTGCATTACAGATGACGGAGGCTGCCCGGATTCCCCTTCGCAAGAGGAGGAAGGGGGCGTCTTTCATCCCTATCCCCCCTCCGGAAAAAAAACCCAGGCTCTTTTAATTTTATGTTTTGACCGACAGTCTTTTTCCATCTCTCTTTATTCCCTCAACTCCCCTCCAAAATAGAAAGTCTCCTCAAGAGGAGCTACTTACCAGGCCATGCTAGAACCCAGGAGAGACTGAGGTGGGGAGGAGGGAGGCAGGTGAGGGAATCCGCTGCGGGGAGAAGATGAAGCGTGGGGTGGAACTGCGGGTCCCTCTCTCTCTCTCTCTCTCCCTCTCTCTTGGCCCGGATCCAGTCGAGAGGAGGAGGAGAAGGAGGGGGAGCTTCCTCGGCCTGATTTGCCCCCCTCAGGAGGGGATCGGAGGGAAGGGGAGGGTCAGGGCAAGGGTGGGGGGAGCCGGTTGTCTACAGCCCCGGGGATGCTGCGGCTGGCATCGCAGCGGCTACATCCTGCAAGGATGGAGAGAGCTCGCTGAGCGCTGGTCCAGCTGCAAATCTCAGCAGAGCGGGGAGGGGGAAACGAGGGGAGGAGGGGAACTGTGGTGCAAGCGGGGGGGAGGGAGATGTGACTGGAGGCCGAGAACCAATCGCAGATCTCAGCCTCCTGCACCCCCTCCCCCACTTCACGCAGCCAGGTCCATCCCCCCAACTCCTCCTTGTTCTCCACACCTCCCCAAATCAAGAGACACCCATAGATGTATTGCTGGAACTCACAGATGGCTGCTTCCTCCCCCCACTCCAGTCCCAGTGATGGTACGTTCCAAGCAGCCTCTCCGTCACTGATGGAAAGGATGCAGGGATGCAGCGATGGAAGGACCATCTGCTTGGTGCAGATCGTACCTGCCCCTGTAGCATCCCAGCCACAGAGTCCTTGGCCAAGTGGGCAGCTCCGGATGCCTGAGTGGTGCTGCTGGTGGTGGTGGATGGGCTGAGAGGGAGTGCCTTTCCCAAGGCCATCCACGGAGCTTCATAGCCAAGTGGTGATTTGAACCTGGGCCTGCCACAGCCAAGCCTCAAACTCTTATCCATTGCATTCTAGTGACGCAGACACAGAGTGGCAGGACCCAGCTAAGGGTGCCACACACAACAGAAGAGAGGGCTTTTTCAGTCATTTCGGCAGGGTGCTATGGAGAGTCAGGAAAATTGCCCTTGCAGTCACCCAACATCACTACTATTATGAAGGGTAAAAAGGAGGAGCCCTTTACCCCTTTCCTCTACTCAGAGCCTATTGCACTTGTACCTGGTGCTTTTGCTGGATCCTGCAGCCATCAAACAGAAAGACACCTGGGTGAATTTGGATCAATCTAGCTGATCTCCTGTGCCTATCTTCTTTCTATCCTCTTGTTTGTGCAGTGCTATAATCCCTGCCAGGTTTTGGGTCATTACAACTGTGATCTCTCTTCCAGTCAACTATTCTCATTTTTCTCTCCTTCTGACTGCTGAAAACTTCATGAACAGGGCCACAATCCACCTCAGTGCTTGGTTATGCATGTTCAAGCCCATCTAAATAATGAAGTGGCTGAAAACAAACATTCCTGATGTTCAGCTACCTTTCCATACTGCCTGATGAAGCATTCTGTAACTTGAAGCTTGCATACTCTGATGACAGAATAAACTAGTCAGTCAGATTACATCTGTCACCAAAACTAATTTGTGTTAGAACTGAACAGAAATGTATCAGAAGACTAATCCAATCATTTTCTCTCACCGTCCCCTAGAAAAAGTAGGCCACTTTGCAGGATTGTTTCCAAATATTCTCCAGTGTGTGTGTGTGTGTGTGTGTGTGTGTGTGTGTGTGATGCCACTGCACCCTCCTCAATGCCCTGGAAGGACTCCAAGTCTGTGTATTGAGAAGGATGCAAAAGAGTGACCAGGTACACAGTTGCTGCTGTTGCCACTTGCAAGAGCTACAATAACTAATCACAGGGTTGTGGGGGCGGGGGGGGGGGGTAAAACTATGCTACTGTCACTGCTTGTAATAAGTCTCACCTCTGAGAAACTGCAAGAGAATTTCACCCCAACTAGGAAGAATTTAGTGAAATGGTCTTCAGCTTCCACCTCCAATTTCTTTGTCCACAAATAAGAGGTGATTCACTTCACCAGGCACACAGATTTGCCCCCAAAATTGACACTCTGAGCAGCTATCTTCTGCAAAACAGAAATCTAAGAGATCAGCATTTGCTACCATAGAAATATTATTGTCCTTCATTTTGTACAGGTTTATGTTGCCACATCTAGCGTGTTATGACCCCTTGAGATGAACACAGGTCTTCCAGATGCTTGAGAAACAGGTCCCTATCCTGTGTGTTGCTGTTACAATTTATGGAGCAGTTTGCAGTTCTAGGCTGGCAATGAAAACAGGAGGTTTATCAAGTTCTTCTTCATGGACAAAGCAATTGGTTTGGTGGGTGTGGTGGTGTAAACATTGCACTTACCAAGGGTTGCTGTGGAGCTATTGATGAAGGCTTCAACTGATGCAATTCATAGTGGTCTGACAGAGGTTACCAAGTGCAGAGTGGATGCCCCGGTGTCACTGCTTTTTCATTGCCTACAATCAGTGCCATTAACTACGAACCCCAAAATATGGGATCCCCTTCAAACCAGGGCCAAACTTTTGCAGTTGATTTGCAGCATCTTGCAGAGATAACCAGTGCTTTTTTCTGGGGGTACACAGGGGTATGCATACCCCTAAACATTTTGTGAATCTTTGTACTTTTGTCCATTTACTGTATTTATTTTTCCAGATTTGAACTATAAAATGGTGATTTTCTTGAGTCAAAATGAGAGTACTCCAAACATTTTTAAAGAAAAAAAGCACTGGAGATAACCCTGCACTTTGCAGCACCCCACAAACTGAGCAATTGATACACCAAACATGGGGTCTGTACTTAACATTGACTATGAACCCTAAAATTTGGGGTCCCCTCCAAACCTTCCTACAAACTGTTGCCTGATGATGGCGTTGGCATATAAATACCGAAAGAGCTCAGATTTTCATTTCTTTGAGACAACCAGTGGTCTCAGGCTGACATCATGAGAGCCTTTCTAGCCACACACCCCAGAAAAGTCCAAAAATGCAGGCAGATCTGTTGATCTACGTATTTGGATCAGGTTCAAAATCTATCATACTCCAGAATCCTGTTCCCACTGTGACCAACCAGATGCCAGTGGGAAGTTTGCAAGCAGACCAGAGTACAACAGCGCTCTTTGCACTTCTGCTACCCAGCAGCTGCTCTTCAGAGGTATGCTCAAACCCCTTCATCATCTTGCTTACTCTTTTCTTATCCCCCCCCCAGCTTTCTGAGAACCTTATTGAGATGAGGCACCCAGAACTGTACACAGTGCTCAGGTGCAGCCTCACCACAGATTTGTATTACGACATTATAATATTGACACTTTTATTTTCAATGCCTTTCCTAGGGTTTCCTAACATGGAATTTGATTTTTTCACAACTGCCACACACTGAGCCATACCTGTCAATGTTTTCCCTTTTTTAAGGGAAATTTCCTTATTCCAAATAGGATTCCTCGCAAGAAAAGGGAAAAGTTGACAGCTATGCACTGAGCTGACACCTTCATCAAGGCCAAGGTCTCATTCCTGCTCAGTCACTGTCAGTTCAGACCCCTAGCTATGGGATGTTACATTTTTTTGCCCTGATGTACTTCACTTTTAACTTGTTTACACTGAATTCCATCTGTCATATTACTGTCTATTTACCCAATTTGGAGAGATTCTTTTGGAGTTATTCGCAACCCCCCTTTGTTTTATCCACCCTGCAGAGGTTGGCATCATCTGCAAACTTTGCTATCTCACTGGTTACCTCCAAATCTAGATAATTAATGAACAAGTTAAAAATTGCTGGTCCCTAGCACTGATCCTTGGTGGACTCTGCTTCCCACAACCCTTTGAAATACCATCCATTTCTCCTCTCTGCTTCTTGTTTCTTAACCAGGACCTCTCCTCTTCTCCCATGACTGTTAAGCTTAATCAGGAGTCTTCAGTGAGGTACTTTATTAAAAGTGTTTTGAAAGCTGAAGTACACATTGTCAGCTGGATTGGTTGCGTGGATGCCATTCAGACCCAGTAATTTGACAATCTTCAATTCTCAATGAGGCCTAGAAATTCATCACTTGTCACTATTAGTCTCTATTATAATCAAGCAGCAGTACAGAGCACAGAACTCAATTTATTAGACCTAGCATTAGCGCAATCGTAAGCACAGTTTCCTGGGAGTAACCGCATTGAACTCAGTGGTGTTCAGTGGTGCTTCCTTCAGACTACAAAGGTTCAACTTTCAAAGCATATAGAGCTTTCTTTACCGAAGGATCTTCAGTGAGTTGAAATGCAGTGTTACGGCTAAATCTGGGTGCGGGGCTACCCTGCCACCCAGCTCGTCGGACTAAGTAAGTCCGCGGGTCCCTGCGAAAGAAAATGAGCTCAGCCGGACAGGAGCAAACTGCAGAAGATCCAAGTTTATTGCGCAACAGGTTCAAGACGAGATTGAACCCCGAGAAAGGGGTGACATGGACTTTTGAAACTCCCTCCATGTCCCGGAATACAGTGCAAAATACATCCCAGTTACGTCATGAATACATTAAGGAAAGGTTGGGTTACACAGATTACATCATGAATACATTAAGGAGAGGTTGGGTTACACCGGATTAACATATGGAGGAGGGAGGGGGGAATATGCAGAGCTGGAGATATGCGCAGATAAGCGCTTCCTGAGTGCCGGTGATGGGAAGACAATGGTCCATGTATGCATAGTCTGTCACCTGGCATTGCCCGGAGGAAAGGTTTGGCAGAGTGATTTGACAGTATATCGTAGCGAAGAAGGTGAAGAAGACATGCCCCCCCCTTCCGTAACAGTCCCCCATTCGGAGATAGATTTGCATTAAAGTTCTGTAAGAACTTGCAAATCTTTTCTCCGCACCCTAAATCTCGGTGAAGGTATGGGTGCCCTGTGAATGGGAATAGGATCTAATGGAAAAGGAGGTGGGTTGATCAAATCAGCAAAGGAGGGAGCAACACGGACCAATACAATGTACAGGCGTGTTATATAGATGTGCGCTAAATAATAACTTGGTATCTACCGTACCAGATGTGTGGGTTTATGCAAACCTGAAGGAGACTTGCAATCCATGCCTCTTAAGGTCATTTGCAAGTATAACAGTGCAGATAGCTGGATATAGGATATTACATAAAAAGAACACCTGTTGTATTTTGTTACTAAATTACTTGTGGCATTCTAGCTCTTGGGAGAAACATTTTCTCAATAGTGGCTATGCTTTATATTTAGCAGGAAGGTCCACTACTGACTGAAAAATGCAGTTGGTGTTTTGTCCATTGCCATTTTTGTGTGTTTCTCAGGTGTCAAGCTAGCTCTTCTGTGGTCTCACACCGGCATAGTGCTGCAGCAACACATCCTGTTGAAACCCCTCAGGGCTTTCATTTAACCATGTCGCCTGGCATTCACCATAGCTGGCACAGGTTTGGACATCTCATGAGAGAGAT